TTTCATGGAACACATGCAAAAAGCAATGTACATCATTGCATTGGCATTCCCACCACTATAGTGACAACAAATGACAAAACTTTGACGCCAAACATATTTCGAACACCATGACAACTCTTTGTCATATATGCTATGCCTAAGTGCCAAACAGGAGTGCTGCCAACAGTTTGCTATCACTGAAGCCATATGACGGGAGGGCATCAGACAACGGTCATGCCTGAAGCTGCAGCAGGAGTCTGCTAGCTGGCGTGAGAAGATTAGATATTCTAAAGGACCAGAACTTGTAAAAATATATAAAAATAAGAAAAGCCATGCAATATAGGAGAAGTTCTGAGCCATGTGCAACGTTTTCTGAATGTTCCCACAGAACCTCGATCATCACCTACAGCTGAATATACCTTGAAATACACTGAAATACCTTGAAGAGAGAAAAAAGTGAAATAACTACCAAGCTTGCTGTCAAAAAAAAAATGGAAAGTGCTCTTTTAGGGGTACAAATGTTCATGCTAGAAGAAAGCAAACACTGCTTAAACAATCCTGAACATTTGGGCAACTCCAGGCCATGGACTTTTATGCTTTGACCATTAAAATCACGTGCTGCAAATATCTTTCCTTGTGACCATATGAAAAGAATATCAAATCCACCTATTCTGAAGTATTAAATCCATCTATTCTGAAATATCCCAACTTCTAGAATGTTTGCGCTTTATGCAGTTTATCAATAGTTCACTTAAAAGTACAAGTTTCCTACAGTCTAAAGTTATTAGCCAATTCTATATAATTTACACTATGATTCAGAGCACTGCTGTCTTGTTGGGTGGAACCAAAATACATTCAATGTTTCAAACTCAATAATCATGACACCAAGTTAAAAGAAAATGCATCAACAGCTATATTTAAAAAGGAAGAACTAAAGCAGGCTTTAGTTTGTTCTCTAGTGCCTCTTGATTTTGTGAATTAACATTAATTCAATTTCTTAAGATCTTAAGTCTTACAACCACAAAGGAAAAGAGTACACCGTGCTCAGGCCCCATTTTTTTTCCATCAATTTTCCTCCTTCAATTGGGGGAATTTTTTTAATTGCCCTAGTTATGTTAATATCCTTTTAGAAATGCTTATTCAATTTTTATCAGTAAATGCTCTTAATGCACACCTCTGATTACTTATTACTGCAAGGGTCATGAGACAGGAAAGCACCATGTCCAGAAACCAAAAACATATTAGTATGTAACTGGGGGCTTGAACTTGAAGATAACAAATAAAGGAACTACTTCAAGACACTGCATTAACTAAAAATCAAAATATAATCAACAAAAGAATGAGCTGATGATAATTAATCTCCCTCCTCAGACACAAATACTATGAAGTTAAAATCTTGAGATTACAAGAGAAAAAAAAACAGAGACACTTCCTAGTTTGCCAGCCACCATGACCTGGTTAGGTAGACTTTTGCTCTTCAATAAAAGTTTAACAGTATTTTGAATGGTTGACTGTAAGACCAACAGCTATAAGGAGTATCAGAAATATGTGACACTATAAAGCCAAATAGAGCTCCCCAGTCAGTTTGTCCAACACCCGCTACTCCTCAAGCCATGGAATATTATCTCCTTACTCCTATATCCCAACTGCTTTTGTTTGAACACTGCAAACTTTCCTTCGAACGTTCCAAGATTCACAATAAAACTATGGAAGTTGGCACAACAGCTCACAAACACATGCAAGTCAAAGAATGCAGGTTTGGACTGAGATGTGTATGTGGGATGTAGCCTGTTTCTCACTTTGATTTGATGCAAACCAGTTGGTCAATGAGGTCCTACTTTCCTATTTAACCCACTCCTCAGTGCTCTGCAAACATGGGGCCATATATACTACATGAACAGATGCAGAAACTGGTAAAGCCCTCTGTTAATGATTAATGGTTATGACCTAGCTATTTTTTAATAAAAATAAAAAGATAATTACATTTTCATAATCATACTGACCTTGAACATAAAACTCACTTAACAGCATAGATTATTAGCATAGCCCAAGAATATTCTTCTTTTCTTGATCCTCACATAAGAAAATGGAGAGCTTTAACTCTGGCAAATGGTGTAAGAGATACAATTAATTGAGAATCATATTCAGATACCATCTTTTCTAAAAGCAAACATCTCAAGAAAAATGCAACAGTGCAAAATCATCCTGTGATGTTGCAGTAGAGAAAAAAATAAAAATAAAAGCAGGTGAGATGTAGTCTTTTCAACTAGAAATGGTCCAATAATAACCAGAGTTACTGGAAACAAAACCACTTGCTCATTGTAAAAAGAGGACAGGATCATTTGCTTAAGAAATAAAGGATACTAAAGAGGACTTTTTTCTAAACTGAAGAAAAAGAGTAAGTGCCAGAAATGTATATATATATACACACGTATCTATATATACATATACACACACATATACATAAGAAGTATGACACAGTGAACCAAATCCAAGAAAGAAGAGTAATTAAATAATTTGTTTTTTAAAAAACACCACCTTATGATTCAAGGTGAAATGCTCTTTTATCTCCCTTAACTTGCCTGCCCATAAGTAACAGCATCTTTTTTAAGGTTGCCCAAAGGGTCTCCTGCCTCCATGAAACTGGGATTCTAGAATGAGAACTTTGCCATAGCAGGAACTGAGTGATCTTAAACCCAGAGAAGTGACAGATAGAATTAGGTTAAAGAGATGGAAGGAGGCTTTTTTATATACTATTAATAATGCATGCACTCTGAAGAGTCCTGAAACAGAATTCCACCTCTCTTCACTGCAGCTGCAGAGCCACGGTGTTTCTTTAATATTTCCCTTTGAATTTCAGAGTCTCCCCCTTTACACGTAAAATGCCTGTTCAGATCAGTTGTATCACTACATAACCCTATGGACAGTTTTCCTATCCACAGAACTCCTGAATTTAGTTTTCTGCCATCCATGAAGGCCTTCCATGAAGACTACAGTTGATATTTAAGATACTCCACATAACCATCATGAAATAAAAAAAAGGCTGATTCCATTAACCAAAATTACTCACTGCTGCCATATCAGAAAATCCATAACCTTCCATAATCCATAACCCTTTGCCTATTCAGAATGATGAGCTGTTTTGCTCTGAGGACACTTACATTGTAAACATAATGTTGCTAAGTAAGCTAGCTGGGCCCTTAGGCAGAGTTACAAGCATGAAGTTACAGTTGCACAAATTGCACAAATAATAGAAATATCTGGAGTATACTTTCTTCTCTGAATTTATTTCTCCAGGTGGAAGGAGTAGATATCCAGCACTCACTCTCAAGTATTATATTCAAAGTTAGCAGACAATAATGGAAGAAGGAGAGCACTGTCTTTAAGAAGCGAATCACTTATACATTATTCCTAGATTGAAGAGGTGTACATAAAAACATTTACCACTTTTATTGAACTATTTATCAGTTTTCTGCTTCTTATAAATATCAGTCTACATCCCTCTCTCTCTGAAAGAAGTCTGACTTTTGGACCATAATTCATCTAGACAGAGCTCAGGCACTATTTTGTTGGCTTGATTGGTGTGCTGTTAAGTTTATGGCCCCATTCCTGCAATGGAAGCTGCAAGCACCTCTTTCATTACTATTTGATAAGTAACTTGAGAGGCACAGATGGATGTCACTATGGAAACATGGGTCATTATTACAGAGACCAATGAAACAAGAATGGATGCCTCCATGAGGCATCAGCTTCCTTCAGTTTCTTTCTTTTTCCCAAAACAGCTTTCAATAATAAGTTCAGCAACACTCCGCTGCTGAAAGCTCAGGCTGGCATTTGAAAGAAACAGCTACTTCTAAATGTTACTCTGTTTTCCTATTCACCTTACTGGAATAGCAGTGGAGAACCCATGTCAGTTCTGTGCCCCTGCAGGACAAACAGATAATGTGTCCTCCCAAGGGTACCAGGGGACACTCTGGTCTCCAAAATATGAACAGGGAAACTTCTTGGTCTAAGATTGCTTCTGTGTTTTGTAGAGGCCACTTCAACAACCATGAATCAAGGACACAGTGCTCTCTATGAGCACAGAGAATTTCTTTTCTATTGGGATGACTTCCCCTCTCCATGAGACCATTTCCTTCAAGGACCTTGAGTTCACTGTGTGCTAGCACGGGCCAAGTAAAGAGAATGATGGAGAGGGAGTATTTTCCCACCTCTGGTATCAGTCACTCAGAGAGCTCAGTCTACAAACACTAACTGGAGCCAGCAGTATTTGGAGATAATAATGCCGGCATTGTCTGGCTTATAGCAGCCCAGAGCAGGGCCGCAGCTGTCGTGGTGCAGCAGAGGGTCCGTGAGGCCCACCTTCCCCAAGGTCACCTCAAGCAGGCCCGGTTCTGATAACGGCCAGCGCGGCAGCACGGTTTTAGCGCTGCTTCAGCCGCCGCCGCCTCGGCTCCCGCCCACGTCTCCCAGCGGAGCTGCACCGGGACGGGGGCGCCCACGACCGCGGCTCTGCCAGGGGCGGGCGGTGCCGCCGCGCCCGCGGATACAGCGGGAGGCGGCTTCGGGGATGCGCGCAGCGGGGCGGGGGCGGGATCGCGCCGCGCCCCCCGGAGCTGCGGCCTCAGCCCGGCCCAGCCTCCCGCCTCCCTGCCCCGCCGTCAGAGCAGGGCGCCGATCGCTGCAGGGCCGGCGGGGCAGGCGGCTTCTCCCTGCGGTGGCTGCTTTGGGACGGAGGGGACGGGGGGCAGCGCCCCACGCGGTGTCCGTCCTTCAGTCCGTCTGTGTGTCCGTCCGTCCGTCCATCCATCCCTGCGTGGGCGGCGGCTCGTGTGTGCGTGTGTGACTGACAGTGCGGAGCGCAAAGCGCGGGAGCAGTCGCCCTCACGCCGCCAGCTGGGGACCGCCCCGCTTGCGGCAGCCCCTTCTCCGTCCCCCGGAGCCCTCCCCGGCGGGGGCGACCTCAGCGGCTTCGCTGCTGCTGCTCCTCCTCCTCCCTCCTGGCGGGTAGGTTACGTTACCTGGTCTCTAGCTCGGGCTGGCTCTAATCCCGCGGCCGCCGCCGGCTCGTCTCCCTGCCGCGGGGCTGAGTGGGGTAATTAATTTATTTATTTCCCATGAGGTGTCCTCGGCAGCGGAGCAGCAGCGGGACAGCCCGGGCCGGGCGGCAAGGAAGAAGGCCCTGGTGCTGCGGCGGGGCCGACGGGACGCCGCTGTCCCGGGGGTGCTGCTGGGGAGCGGCCGAGGCGCTTCAGCACCGGCGCGGGGGGGCGGGGGCTGCGGAGGAGACGCCTCCCGGGCTGCCCAACCCGGCTCCGCGGGGCCGGCGGGGGCGCGGCGCCCGTCCCGGGGAGATGGAGCCAGAGCGGGAGGTGGGACGGGACGGGCTGGGGCGCGCCGGGCTGGGGCGCTAGGACGGGCAGCACTTGGGGTCCTGCGCCCTCCGGTGCGAGGCGTGAGCCCTTCGCGCCGGTGCCCTCCCTTTCTCCTGCCCCGTCCGGGGCCGCCGGGCGAGGAGAACCCTTGCTGGGAATTGAGGCCGGGGCGGTGCGCGCTACCCCCGGGAGCGGAGGGGCATGGGGAGCCTCGGTGTTCCCCTTGTCGCGTTCTTCACCTCGCTGCTGGCGGCGCAAGATGTATCCGCCCCCGGCCCCACCTCGGTCTCCTAGTCTTCTGGACTGAGGATGCTGAGTATTTCACACCATGAGGCTGATGCGGTCGCTGTTCCACGGAAAGATCACGAAAAGGCAACAGTTTGCTGCTTTTAGGAGAAAAAAAAAAAAAAAAAGAAAAAGAAAAAAACAAATATTAGCGGAGATATTTTTGTGCTAAACGCGAGAACTTCGTCTTCCGAAGCAAGGACTGAAATTTGGCCAATCAGCAATGAGTTGTCAGTTTAAGTCTTGGTCACCTCTTCCTTTGCCACCTTTTTCTCTCCCTTAAGAAATAACAAAGTTCCCAGTGTTTTGTACATGAACATATTTATTAAAGTGACCACTAAGTTCTCCAGAAATTCTGTCCTTAAGGCTAAAATTCTGTAGGGAAAGAGAAAATAATCATATAATTGCATAATTAAAGCCTTTACCATAACACCTATTCTCATGGGTAAAAGTTGCACATTATGTGCAGCTTTAAAAGTAGTGGGAAGAGGCTGGAGTAATTACATTTGTTGACATTATGTTGCAAAACATGGACAAAAGTAAACCTGGTTATCTTATTTATTTATTTTCTTAACTTTATTGGACATACTTTGTTTATTAAGAGCTTATGAATAGGGTGTTTACAGACATGTTAGGAACTGAAACTGTTTGTGTATGGATAAGAGTAGGGAGAACTTGGGTTATAGTCAAGAATATTCCAGTTTGCTGAGCTGCTAGTTGAGCAGGGAAGGACTTGCTAGGGTTGTCTCTTTATTTTCCATTAATAACAACTGAATCCCTTAGCTAGTATCAGCTGCAATGAATTAAAATTTTTGGAAAAATAATCTGAAAAGAAGCCTGCCATCCCTCAAAAAAAGCTGCAGCATGAGTAGTGTAAGAAACTCAGAACTAGGGATATTGTTTATTAAGACTTATGTTAAGCTCGATGTAAAAGTTAGGCAATAAAAGATATGAAATTGCTTCTGCAAACAACCACCAGACATAGCCTGCACAAGATGAGATAACCGCAATCGCTTACACCGACTGGGAGCGACCGAGCACACCGCCCACAGAGTCGAGGGGAAGCTCTCGGTCTGTAAGATAAGATAACCGCAATCGCTTACACCGACTGGGAGCGACCGAACACCACCGCCCACAGAGTCGAGGGGGAGCTCTCGGTCTGTCGATCCTGTCCGTGTCTGGGCCGGACCAGATATCGCTTCTGCAGAACATAAAAAATGCTGTGTAATGCTTCTGCAAGCATAAAAGATGTATAAAAGGGGGCTGTTTGAACTGCTCAGCGCGGCAGTTGGCGGAGCGCAGACTCCCCTGTCGTCCAGCGCTGTTTTGCTCATATTCTACTTGCTATAATTAATAGAATTTTAATTGGATTATGATCCGTTGTGGTCTCAATTTATAACAATTTCTGGTGCCGTGACTCGGATAAGGAATGGTGGGCTTTGGTCCTCCGGGGAGGCGCCCCGCGACATTTCGCGGCCCCGCGACCAATAGCTTACCCCAACCTTACCGACGAACCTAAATTCTAGAATAATGAGCAAAGGAGAAACCGGTAAAATCCCATAAAATTCTGTGCACGGGAGTCCGGACGAAGACGCAGGACGCGTAAGTATATTGCGAATTTGTTCGCGGGTTTGCCGTTCGGGCGGGATTGGGTTTCCTGGAATATAACGAATGAGAGGTTCGATATACTGAACCAAGCGAGTGTGGACCCTTAAGTACTGCGTTTCCCATCTCCCGCGAGGGACTGGGCCAGGAACAAGAGGAGTGAGTGAGTGTGTGTTTGTGGATATTCCAGAAGATGGGGGCGAAGGGCAGCAAGCCTTCGACTCCCATGGGAAGGGTACCCACTGTACCTAAGAATACCCCTCTGGCATATATCTTAGACAATTGGAGATATTTCCCTGGAACCTTAGGGAAAGATAAGCAGAAAATGATAGAATATTGTACTAAGATATGGGGAGGGAAGAAGATTTCTAAAAATGTCTTTTGGCCAGTCTATGGGTCAGAAGAAGATTGGGTAAGACAGCAATTAAACCTCTGGGTTAATAATAAAAAACCCCTTAACCCGGAGGAGAGTCAGTATGCGGAAGTGTGGCTAGAAAGACCAGGAGCTAGACTTTATCCGCTGAATGAAATAAAAACTAAACAAAAGAAAAAGAAGGAAGAGTTAGACGAAACCCTTCTGATCCCGCCTCCTTACATTCCTCCTCCTGTTCCCGCAGCCCCTCCAGAGGTCCCCAGAGCGCCCACTCCCCCACCAGAGTCGGAACAGGGGTCTCCCCCTCCTCCTAGACGCATAACTAGATGTCAAAAAGGGGCAGCTCAGATGTACCCCCTAAGGGAAATGCCTATGGGGGGACCTCAACCTGTGATCGGATATATTTCCGTACCCTTAAACTCGGCTGACCTACGGGACTTTAAAAGAACAGAGATGGGAAACTTAATTGAAGACCCACTCGGAGTGGCAGAAAGATTAGATCAATTTTTGGGACCAAACCTTTATACTTGGGATGAGATGCAATCTATCCTTGGTCAATTATTTACTACCGAGGAAAGAGATATGATTAGACGAGCAGGAATGAGGCTGTGGGATGCTCAACATGCCCAGGGACCTCAAGCAGATATTAAATGGCCACTCCAAAGACCTAATTGGGATAACCAGGATCCGGTGCATAGAACTCATATGCAGGACCTGAGAACTATAGTAATTCAGGGAATTAGAGAAGCAGTACCCCGTGGCCAAAATATCAATAAAGCATTTAATGAAATGCAAAGGAAAGACGAAAGCCCTACTGAGTGGTTGGAACGACTGAGGAAAGCCCTTCAACTGTACTCTGGGGTAAATCCAGACGACCCTTTAGGGCAAGCGCTCCTCAAAACTCAGTTTGTGGCAAAATCATGGGAAGATATCAGAAAGAAAATTGAAAAGTTAGAAGACTGGCAGAATAGAGGGTTGGATGAATTATTGAGGGAAGCTCAGAAAGTCTACGTAAGGCGGGAAGAAGAGAGCAGCAAGCGACAAGTAAAAATGATGGTAGCAGCGGTCAGAGAGGATCGCAAAGGGCGAACTGGTAAGCACAGATTTGTTAGGACGGAACAAGGAAACGTAGTAGTAGAAAAGGAACAGAGATATTGTTTTTACTGTGGAAAAAAGGGACATATAAAGAAGAACTGCAGAGAAAGGATTAGGGATGGGGAAATATTGAAAACGGAATAGGAAAGTCAGGGGCTCTATATCTTGGGGAACAGGAGTCATCATGAGCCCTTGATAAAACTGAAAATAGGTCCCCATAAACAAGAGTTCACCTTTTTAGTAGACACTGGGGCTGAGAAATCAACCATTAAGCAACTACCTGAAGGATGTAAAATTTCCCCTGAAAAAGTACAAGTAATTGGGGCAAAAGGAGAACCCTTTAAAGTAAGTAAAATCAAAAATGTGGAATTCGAAACTGAAAATAAATTTGGAATGGGTGAACTCTTGCTCGTCCCTGAAGCAGAATTTAATCTGTTAGGACGAGATTTAATTGTTGAATTGCAATTAGAAATTATAGTGAAAAATCAAGAAATAACAGTGTCTGCTTATCCTTTGACCGTGGATGATCAAAAACAAATTAACCCCGATGTCTGGTACTCTCCGAACACAATTAGTAGACTAGAAATTCCACCGATTAAAATCCAAATTTCCGAACCCCACATACCTGTGAGGGTAAGGAAATATCCCATATCCCTAGAAGGACGGAGAGGATTAAAGCCAGAAATTGATCGATTGTTAACACAAGGAATCTTAGAGCCTTGTATGTCACCCTTTAACACCCCCATTTTGCCTGTAAAGAAACCAAATGGGAAATATTGGCTTGTACATGATTTGAGAGAAATAAACAAGAGAACTATCACCCGATTCCCTGTAGTAGCAAATCCATACACATTGTTAAGCAAGCTAGGACCCCATAACTCATGGTATAGTGTGGTTGATTTGAAGGATGCCTTTTGGGCCTGTCCACTGGCAGAAGAATGCCGTGATTATTTTGCCTTTGAATGGGAAGACATAGAGACAGGCCGTAGACAGCAATTGAGATGGACCGTGCTTCCCCAAGGGTTCACTGAATCCCCTAATCTGTTTGGACAGGCCCTGGAAGAACTCTTAATAGAATATCAGGTACAGACGGGGAATGTGCTGTTACAGTATGTAGATGATCTGCTCATAGCGGGGAACAATAAGGAGAATGTAAGAAAAGAAACCATTCGACTCCTAAACTTTCTTGCACAAAAGGGACTACGGGTATCACAAGAAAAGTTACAATTTGTGGAGGAAAAAGTGAAATATCTGGGACATTATCTGTTTAACGGCCAGAAGATATTAGACCCAGAACGTATTAAAGGAATTCTGGAATTACCTATGCCTGTCACTAAGAGGCAAATTAGACAGGCATTAGGGCTATTTGGATATTGTAGGCAATGGATAGAGAACTACAGCTTTAAAGTTAAATTCTTATATGAACAACTGTCTAAAGACAAGATACCCAAGTGGACCCCTCAGGATCAAGAGCAGTTTGCCAGTCTAAAAGGAGAGCTAAGTCAAGCACCGGTTTTAAGCCTACCAGATTTAAAGCGGCCATTCCATTTATTTGTTAACATACATGAAG